TTCCATTTCTGTTGCACTTAGTTTTGCCTCCCTACACCTTCGGGTAAACCAAGGACTCGTTTTGGTCTTCTATTTCCTTTTCCCCTTTGGGGAAAACAAAACTTTCCTCTGCCTCCTTGCACTTGTTGCCACATATTCCATCATCTCGTTTACTGATTTTCCTACCTTTTTCTCTGTCCCACTGAACCTCCTGCAGGAAGTTTCTCATACCTGTGTAGTCCCCCCTTTTATAGTTGGGCCTGTCCCCTTCAGTTCCTGTTACCTTCTCCACTTGTAACTCTACTATATAGTCAAAACTCAGACCACATGATCGCTAGCTCCAAGGGCCTCTCAAAAGGGTGATGTCCTCAATTCTGAACTGCTCGGGTGAACACAAGATCCAGTCTTGCTGGCTCATCCTCCCCTCTCTCTCTGGTTGTGCCCCCTGACATGTTGATGCATGAGGTTTTTCAAGTACCACATCCATCATCTTGGCTCTCCATGTTTCGGGACCCCCATGTGGCTCCAGTTTTTCCCACCCGATCCCCCTGTGGTTGAAATCGCCCATTCCCAGTAACTTTGCTCTGCTCGAGTGAGCTCTTCTTGCCACCTCACCCAGTGTGTCCACCATCACCCTTTTTGTTTTCTTCGTACTCCTCTTGTCCTCCTGCAGTTCTGTGGGGGGTTTTATACATCACTCCAATGACTACTTTATGTTCTCCGGACTGAATTGTACCTACAATGTAGTCTCTTTCTCCAATCATGTCCATGCCTTCCATTTCCTCAAATCCCCATCGGTGTTTTATGAGCATGCAACCCCTCCCCCCCCTCTATTTCCTTCTATTTTTCCTCAGGATCTGATATCTTGTTGGGAAGATTGTGTCTGTTATTGTCTCAGCGAGTTTTGTTTCTGTGACTGCTATGATGTCTGGGGATTTTTCACTGTTTCCCTTTCATTCCACTCCTCATGTTTATTCATTATTCCATCCGCGTTTGTGTACCAAACCTTTAGTTTCTTTTCTATCATTGTGGTCATGCAAAAAATATTGGGTTGGGGGAGCGAGAGCCTTGGTGGGGGCCTTAGGGGGGTGGTGTAGGGGGGGTTTGTGTTGATGGGGGTGGGGTCAGAATGCCCATAAAAGGGGCAGCTGTTGGGGGGAGGTTTGTGAAAATGGGGAATTTTGGGGGCAGAGGGAACTGTGAGTGGGTTGTAGTATAAAGGTTGCTCAGTTGCGTTGGGAATGTCGCGGGTGGAGTCTTTTTTGGGGGGAGATTCTGTGGGGTGTGTTTGCCCTTCCTCCTGTGTCTGGGTCCTGCTCATTTTTATTTCTTCTCGTTCCTCCTTGCGTCTCTGTAAAACCCCCTCTTTCAGTGTAGTCCTTTCTTCTTGTGTTCTGTCGTGGTCGAGGTATACTCTCTGGTACCCCTCTTGTCCCTCAGTCTTGCTTTCTCTTGCAGAATCCTGATTCGAACTGATTCTTCCCTTTAAAATTACTCTGACAGGGCCGTATCCTTCCACTCGCAAACACCCATTCTCTGAAAATTTGTCACCTGGGTCATATGCCCTCCCCTATTGTTTTCATGATGCCTTCAATCATTTTTTTCTCCTCCTGTTTTTTTCCCTTCAAAGTTGGCCCCCTTGGCTTCTTGGACCCGTACACAAAAACTGACCTCGCCCTTTCCTCCTCCCACTGAGTCTCCATCTGCGTCCTCTGAGCATTTTATTTCCTTCCATTGACATTTTCTTGCCTTTCAGTCCCTGTCATATCTGAAACTTCTATTCTCAGTGGACTGTTTTCCTGCCCCAGCTGTCCCTTGCTACTGCATTTTGGCTGTTAGAATCTCTGCATACAGCATCCCTTCATTGTCTTCGACCTGCCCGTTTGATCTTAGTGTGCTCGTCGTCTTTTCCCTGCCCCAGGGGGTCTGATAGGGCCTTCATGTTGGGCATGTCTCCGTTGTTGCTTACCATCCCCCTTGTCTGCCGCCTGACTTTGAATTTCCTGATGTCACACCTGAATTGTCATTTGTCTCTCTAATCTGTTTCAGGCTTTGCAGTTTTCTCTTCTAAGCACTGAAACCAGCTTTTGCTGCTAAGACCTGTACTTCCCACTTCCTGCACTCTTCAGCTATCCGCTCCTCCATTTTCTTACCAAGCTCTACTATCTTTCCCTTTCCCCCCTCTTCCTCCCTTTTTTGGAGCTCTAGCTCCCAGTCTTTCCTCCCTGGTTCATCCACCAGATCTCTGGGTTTCCGTCCTCTAAGGCCACCCTTTTTTTTTTTTTTTTTTTTTTTTTTTTTTTTTTTTTTATTTTTAAACCCCAGACAGAAGGCTAGAGGAGGGAAGAGGGTGTGGGGAGAGAGAGAGAGGGTAGAAAGAGGGAGAGAGAGGAGAGAGTATGGGGTGAGGGATAAGACCAAAGGGGGGGGGAGAGAAATGTGAGGGGGAGAAAGGGTTTGAAGAGGGGAGAAAGAGAGGGAGAGGGAGAGAAAGAGAGAGAGAGGGGAAAGGAGGGAAGAAGGCTATGATAGAGAGAAACGCGAGGGAGGGGAAAAAGGGAAGAGTTCCCGTGGGGGAGGCAGTCAAATTCCAAGGATCAGCTGTGTGTACTCACTAGTTGTGGTTTCGGGGTCGAGACCCAGCTCCTGGCCCGAGTGTGTATGTGCGTGCGCGCGCGCGTGTGTGTGTGTGTGAGCACGTCAGTTGTTTATATGTTTATATGTGTGTGTGTGTGTGTGTACTCACCTAGTTACTCACCTAGTTGATGTTGCAGGGGTCGAGTCCAAGCTCCTGGCCCCGCCTCTTCACTGGTCGCTACTAGGTCACTCTCCCTGAACCATGAGCTTGATCGTACCTCTGCTTAAAGCTATGTATGTGTGTGTGTGTATGCGTGTGTGTGTGTATGTGTGTGTGTGTGTATGTGTGTGTATGTGTGTGTGTCTCAACAATCAATATTTGCACCAATAACTCATTACAGTTGTGACCGGGTGTGGAAGTGTGAATTGCTCATTACTCTATAATTTGTTCATGATTGTAGCCATGTATAAACCTAAGTAACCATTCTTACAGGATTCATTACCTTTGTAACCTGTGAGTTCATTACCTTTGTACCTAGTTCAGCTATCAAAACTTTGGGGGCCCAGTCCCTGGACCCATTACGTACCTCTGTAATCTGTAAATACCTTTGTAACTTGTCATGATTGTGACCAGACCTACCTCGAGCTCATTACCTTTGTAAATTGTGAGTTCATTACCTCTGTAACTTGCTCAGCTATCAAAACTTTGGAGTCCAGTCCCTGGACCAATTATGTACCTCTGTAATCTTTTGACTACCGCCCACAGGATGGGTATGGGGTGCATAATAAACATATTAAACTAAAGATCGTCCCAACGTATCAACACCTGACACCCATTCTCTTTGCTGACGACATGACTTGTGTCATCTCCCACCCAAATCCTGCCACCCTCAACACCATTGTTAACGAGGAGCTACTCAAAATATCTACTTGGATGACAGCCAATCAGCTTACACTTAAACACTGACAAAACCTTCTATATTATGTTTAGTAACAGGGCAGGTGCTGCACAACTTAGCATTAAGATCGACAACATTCTTACTGCCAGACATAATGAGGGCAAATTCCTAGGCCTGCACCTTGACATCAACCTGAATTTCAGCACCCACATTCAACACACAACAAAAAGAGCATCCAAAAGGGTTGGGATCCTCTCCAAGATACGTTACTACGTGTCACAATCTGCCCTTCTCTCACTACCAATTTATCCCGACCTCACCTATGCTATTTGTTCTTGGGGATCAACTGCAGCAATACACCTAAAGCCAATAATAACTCAACAGAAAGCCACAGTACGAATAATCATGCAATCCACTCCCAGGCAACACACCTCCCCACTCTTCATATATCTAAACTTACTCGCTGTTCAGAACATCCACACTTATTACTGTGCAACCTACATTTACAGAATCTTAAATATCAATACAAACCCTGACCTAAAACACTTTCTTGATAGTTATGACAGGACCCACAGGCATAACACCAGACAAAAATATCTGACATTCCCCCATGTCTGGTTAAACCTATACAAAAATCCAATGTACATAAAAGGGCCTAAAATCTGGAACACCCTACCTGAAAGCTCTAGAAATGCAGACTTTCATCACTTTCAAAACTACCGTTAGAAAACATCTTTATCTCCCTGACACCCCACAGTCAGCTAACATGAAAACCGCCTATTCTCTTGTATCATACAAACCACCTAGACCTCCCTTCAATATCTGAGATTCCCCACAATTCACACACTCACCCAACTGACTATAAACATAGAAATACGTAATACAACTATTACCTATGAACCTTAGACTAGTCATAAGTTTGCCTGTGATACTCCAATATAGGAGTTTCAATAGAAACTATGTATCATACCAATACAAAACCATTCACATTGCTAAATTTAAGAACTGTAATGCAGTTACCTAGCCTTAATACCAACATGCTCCATAACCTGTAAACCCAAAACAGAGCTCTGAATTAATCTTAGGCTGCTTGAAATGGCTAGTCATGCTAGGGTGATAGTGGCCCTCTCTGTAATTAGCATTTTATATTATAATCAAGGGGAAGCGCTAAACCCGTAGGATTATACAGCGCCTTGGGGGGGATGTGGAAGGCATTCAGGCTTAATTCGGGGAACTGGAGCACAGATTCAATTCCCTAAATCAAGAGCCCTTCACCAACATCAAGGAACCTTCCTTGAGGGGAGCATTTTATATGTAAACCACACTATTCTATAATATGTAAACCCCACACTTTAATCTTTATAGAGAATAAACTATTTGATTTGATTCAATCTCATCTTAAGTACCCGGGGTTGATCTTGCAATGAGCGGAAGCAGTGGCTGTGTTTCCTTACACCTGTTGCCCCCTCTTCACCTAGCAGTAAGTAGGTAACTGGGGATTAGCAGACTGTTGTGGGTAGCATCCTAGGGAAGAGGAACAAAGTACCCCAATGGAAATAAGCCATATTAATTTGAAAATGATTAATGAGGACGTATTTCAGTTACTCCATTATGGTAAACTGTGAAATAAAAGCCAGAATGGAGTACAAAATAAATTCTAACCACACAACTGAGTGAAAAACCAATGTGAAGGGCTTAAGAGTGATAATGTCAGAGGATTTCACCTACAATAATCACAACACTGTCATTACCACAACTGCAAGGAAAATGATAATATGGATAATAAGAACCTTCAAAATAAGGCATGCCAAGCCAATGATTATCCTTCAAGTGATTGTCCTCAGCAGGCTGAAATACTACCACACAATAAGAGCCTCATTCATGGCAAGCAAAATGGCAGATCTGAAGAATGTACAACTAAGATCTTGCTTGTGAATTCAACGTACAATTCCAAGACCTGCAAGCTAGACCAACTACTAGTATTTGTTATAGTGTATGGAGTAGAGTTTTAACTAGGCTTAGTTAGGGATATGATTCCCTTTGGATTAAGTCGAATTACCCCAGGCACTGTATGACAACACTCCCCCAATAAGACAACTAAGAATAAGACTAAATAACAATAACTAACAAGAGTAATAACTAAATAATAATAACAATTTAACATTTACCGAGTGACTTTCCAATGATGACTATATCCGGTTTGACATCTTGGGCTTGGAATGACCAGTAATGTGAACCAATACGCCCAAGGCTTGTCTGTACTTCATCAGCTATGCAAAGTCCACCAAACGCTCGCACCATCCTGTTAAAAACAAAATAAACAGAAGTGATAAAAGTCAATACATACTACTAATGCTCAATGAAAAAATGAGGCTTGTTGTGGGAATGTAAAGATTCAAACTTCGGTCAGAATGAAGTTTATAAGGTTATGGCAACATAATGACAAAGTATGCTGGCACATCACTAATTTTATAATGCCTTTTACTAAATAATTTGCTCCATATTTCTAGCAGCGTTGAATGACTCACGAGTTTAACGCTTTTCATGATTATCATTTTACAACGGAACATTGGGACATACAGTAAGACGCACAGTGCCTGCACACACGGGAATGGGTTACACGAATGTTGAGATTTGGAATATCTGAACTGATATCCCTGCACTTCTGAGACAATATCCTTGGAGTAAAATGGCAGACTGCTTGAAAAAAAATGATAATTAGCATATGGCATCTTCAGTGCCTTACTGTGAACAGAAGGCCTATAGATTCTGCAAAACAACTATTATATGCTTGTTCAGGGAAACAAAGTTTTTGTACAGTCTTATGAAGAACACTTTCTGATCTACCTACAGTGGCAAGTTAAAAAAAAATGTTCTAGGTATGATGCTCTCGCTGTACAACATTCTTATATCATTATATTCATATTCAATGTTGGCTGTGTCAGCAGACAGAACTGTTTTTATGGGGAAGGAGATGCTCCTGATTCTACTGAAATATAGCAATATGGACGTCTGGACTCTTCGACACGTTCTGTAACTCGGGATTTTTTGTAATCTGCCGTTGGTTGATTGAAAGACCTATTTTTTCAGTAGTTCTTCAGCTCTTGCAGACAGCTGGACCATTAGAAACCAAAAAGTTATTTTGCATCAAATTACAGTTGGACTTCTTGCTGCCCTCCCTCCATTACTACCAGTTTATGCTACAATTTAGTTTACTTATAGAAGTGATAAACCCATAAAGTGTTTGATGAATAAGACGCTTGCAACTCTTGGGTATCTCTCTGAAAGACGTTTACCCACCAAGGTTTTAATCTATCTAGTACAGAGACGATCAAGGAATAGTAGAGCGGTAAAGTAACAGTAGAGAGCATAAAATGTAGGTCTGAACTACTTGTAGAGCTCTTGAAGCCAGGTGCTGGAGGGTCAATGCAACCAGGTACTGTTAACATGGGCTCCGCAATGAAGCATGCAAGCTATGGAACAGAAATCATGATATTCCTTCATTAAATATTCTTTTAATAATTGAGAAAGAAATTATGATACTTTATTTGCAGTGAAGAACTGAGAAGGCATGGATGGCCTTTTTCGGTTAAGTGCTGTAGACCCACATAGTTTTAAAATTATTTGCGGCTATAATAGTTATCTGTATTGGATTAAAGTAAGTTAAGTGTACATATATCGAAATGTATATTCCTCCACGTGTACATGTGTTGTGCTTCTCAGTTAATACACATCAAGAGACCTATATCAGCAGAATATATACAAAGTGCCTAGTACCAAGGTCTGTTCTTTCTTATTTATCATTACTCATAATTTAACTATCCTATTTTAATAATTACGTGTAAACTACATTACCTATGGTATACTGCAGAAAAGAAAAATTATTTGTATATTGTACTTAATTTCGGATACACCACTAACCTATATATTCTTGGAGATATTCATGGCAAGTGTTTAATATTATAGTCCAACAGTAAAATAATAAATCCCTTTTGTGAATTTAAGAGTACGACTAGAAATGGATTTGTAAGGAGGACGTAGCTCTTGCACTCAAAAATTTGACAAAGGAGCTATAATTAAACCTTTCAAGAGGTCTAGGAGCTTTTACATAAACACAGTTAAGAAGCCTAGCACCTGTATTTAACACCCTCAAAAGTCCAAGGAGGTGTAGATAACACCAAGACACCCAGAAGCTCATACCAGATCAAACACTGCGAAACAAGAGCAGAAAGACGAAACTACGTTGGCCATGTCCGTAGAGCTTAATCGACTCTATAACTTATGAAGATGTAGATGACAATAATGGATCAAGCTCAATACCATACTTCATTTTATTTATGTGGTTTGGTTACCTAATTTGTGTTTATTATTAGCTGTTTGCATGGGGTATCTGTGTACAGTGAAATCTGGGCCGAAATATTTCAGCACAAAATTTAACGAGGTCAACCACCACATCGCACAGAACTGTCCCAAAAAGTTACCACTATTTTACATGTGCTCAGATTTATTAGAAAGATCACATCAAACATGTATTCTACCTCCTATATAAAGTTTTCCTTTCTCTAGATCTTGTTATCTGCTGAAGGAATCTCAGAGATTGATATGTGGAGAGTTTTCTTGTCTTTGTCTACAAGTGTTTTTCCTTTGAATTGAAAGGTGTTTAATTTAATTTGATGCTCCTACATAAGAGGTATTCATAAACTAGGTGAATCAGATCTTTCAAGTGAATAAAACATGAAGGATATGGATTTATCATTGACAGTTACTAAACAAAATCAGACCATGGTATTGAAAGCTGCTTAGGTCTGATGAAACAAGATTCTGAAATCACCTGCTGTAATACCAGTCACCACCTAGAGCTAATGCGTTTCACTCAATGTCCAAAAAACAACGCCTCACCCACCATCCATTCCCCAACCTCCTTCCTCCCACAATATGAGGATCCATATTACCTCAGTAGCCTACCTGAACCCTTTTGTGGCACACACTTCAAGATATGTGCAGTTTAGAGTTTGAGTCTTCTGCTGAAAGGCATTCACAAGTTATCGAAGAGAAACCAATATTCCCATTTCTTCTAAAAATGGTAAATTGATGCCTAAACAAATTAGACCATTCTAAGTTCAATATCTTTATTTTGGATGCCATATCATCCTGTGGGCGGTAGACAAAAGATTACAGACATTTTTATAAAACTGACAAAATGGTATCTGCCCACCCCTACAATCCCATGTATCCTTCCTTCATTAACAATTAAGGAGCCTTGAAAAACTTAACACGATGGGACGAGGAAGAAAATTCAGACAACCACTTAATGGCACCACTTCCCGTAAATGATAATTTATATTTATTAACACATCGGCCTTCTCCCACCAAGGCAGGGTGGCCCGAAAAAGAAAAACTTCATCCTTCACTCCATCACTGTCCTGCCAGAGGTGCAATTTACACTACAGTTATGAAACAGCAACATTAACACCCCTCCATCAGAGTGCAGACACTGTACTTCCCATCTCCAGGACTCAAGTCCGATCTGCCGGTTTTCCCGACTCCCTTCAAAAATGTTACCTTTCTCACACTCCAACATCACGTCAAGTCCTAAAAAACATTCGTCTCCATTCACTCCTATCTAACACGCTCACACACTCTTGCTGGAAATCCAAGCCCCTCGCACACAGAAATTCCCTTACCCCCTCCCTCTAACCTTTCCTAGGCTAACCCCTACCCTGCCTTCCCTCCACTACAGATTTACACACTCTCGAAGTCGTTCTATTTTGTTCCACCTTCTCTACATATCCGAACCACCTCAACAACCCCTCCCCAGACCTCTGGATAATAGTTTTGGCAATTCCCGCACATTCCTCCTAATTTCCAAACTATACGAATTCCTGCATTATATTCACACCACACATTGCCCTCAGGCATGATGTCTCCACCGCCTCCAGCCTTCTTGTTGCAACATTCACCACCCATGTTTCACAACCTGCCACAAGACATTACTAAAGTAACCTTCAGACTACATAACGAGACAGCAGTTAACTTTATAGCAGCTATGAATAACATCGATTGGGAAAATGAGCTCGACACATATACAGATATGAATGAATGTATAAATAATTTTCTAAAAAAAGCCCAAAGCCTCTATAACAAATATTGCCCCCAAAAAACTAAACAGATCACAGCAAAGAGATTGAATAATCCCTGGCTAACACCCAGCATCCTCAAATCCATTAACACTTAGCACAAATATGAAAAACAGTATAGAATGGGTCAAATAACTAGAGAACAGTCTAAACGTTACTCGTCAGCTCTTACCAGCCTGATAAAATCTAAAAAAATTGTATTATGAAAATAGATTACATAACATCAAAGGTGATATGAAAAAAACCTGGAAAACTCTATCTGAAATTCTTGGTACTAAAAAGTTATCCAAAAGCAAAACAATTACACTAACAAATTCAGATGAACCCCTACTCACACCAACTGAAACAGCAGACAGACTCAATGTTTTCTTCTCCACCATAGGAAAAAATCTAGCGAACAAAATACCAAGCGCAAACACCCGCCCATCAGACTACCTCATAGGTACCTACCCAAATACGCTACTCCTAGCTCCAATCAACCCCATAGAAGTTACGCTCATCATGAACACCCTTAAAAACAAGGCTTTTATGTACAAAAAAGCTTCTCAAGTATTGTCACCAATTATTGAAACACTCTTTAACAAATCCATTGAATCTTCTACCTTCCCAACAATCCTCAAATTAGCGAGGGTCACTCCAATCCACAAAGGAGGTGACCAAGCTGACTTGAATAATTATAGACCAATATCTAATTAACCACTGCTCTCTAAAATCTTCGAAAAATTAACTCATAGACGGATCTATTCCTACCTCGTCTCACACAACGTATTAAACCCTTGTCAGTTTGAATTCAGGAATAATAAAAGCACAAATGATGCTATCATACACATGCTAGAACTAATACATACCGCACTCGAAAAGAAAAGTCCCGCTGGGCATTTTCATTGATTTACGTAAAGCTTTCGATACAGTAGACCATGAACTGCTGTACTCCAAACTAACGCACTATGGTATCAGAGGCCACTCCCTCAACTATTTAAAATCATACCTTAGTAACAGAACTCAATATGTGTATGCAAATGGTGCAAACTCTTTCCCCAACCAATCACAGTAGGAGTCCCACAAGGAAGTGTCCTTGGACCACTCCTCTTTCTCATCTACATCAATGATCTACCGAATGCATCACAGCTACTCAAACCCATATCTGCAGATGACACTACATACGTCTTTTCCCACCCAGTCATACTAGCAAACACATTCAATGCCGAATTGAAGAAAATAGCTGCCTGGATGATGACTAATAAACTTACCCTGAATACTGATAAAACATATTTCATTCAGTTTGGAAACAAAGCTGCAAATGATCCACTGAACATAACGCTAAACGGATCATCAGTCACAAGACTTAGAGGGAAAATTCCTAGGTATCCACCTTGACAGTAGCCTTAAGTTCCAGACACATATACAACAGATCACCAAGAAAATCTTCATGACTGTAGGCATACTATCAAAGATTAGGTACTACGTTCCACAATCAGCTCTCCTGGCACTGTACCATTCACTCATATACCCTTATCTTACATATGGAATTTGTGCATGGGGATCAACAACATCCAGGGCCGGATTAAGAAGTCTCCGGGCCCTAGGCTATTCAGATTGGCGGGGCCCCTTTGAGTTTACGGGTATGCGAAGCGACCCTTCCAGCTTGGGGGTGAGGGGGGGGGGTCGGTGTGAGCCTGTTTAAGGTCTAATTAAATACATTCTGGCTATTTAGATTAAATTTAATAGGGAAAGTACATCAAGACAACCAAAATCATTTACCAACAGCCATTATAACTATCTTGTTAAATCATGCATTTTAAAGAGAATAAACTCAAGAAAGCATAGTATTACTGAATTAGGCTATTAAAGTAGTGACATCATGTACCTATTATATTCAGCATAACCACTACAGCACTATTATTCCCTTTATAAATCACTGACCATTATTGTTATCATTGCATCATGCATAAGACTATCAAATCATATAAACTACAGAAAATTGGAGAGGAATCTCCTATACTCACCCATAGCGGAAAACACAGCTGTTCTGATGTAAACAAAGGCTGTTGAGTGTTGCCATCTATGGTTAGGTTTATTTATTTTTATTTTATTTCATTATTTATTTTTGTTTTGATTAATTTTTAAAAATAAATTTTACTCTCCGAACACTTGAACTTTTTAGGTAGGGACCCCTTTGCACTTGCACCATGTGCGCAGTCTTGGATGAGCCCCTGAACCCCTTGGACCGTGGGGCCCCCAAATGCACGGGGCCCCCAAATGCGCGGGGCCCTAGGCAAATGCCTAATTTGCCTATGCGGTAATCCGGCCCTGACAACATCCAATCACTTAAGACCTCTAATAACCCAGCAAAAGGCAGCAGTAAGAATGATAAATTCCCACTCCTGCCAGCATACTCCAATTTTCAAAAGTCTGAATCTGCTCACCATTAAGAACATCCATTCTTATTCATGTGCCTACTACATACACAGAACAAGACGCACAAATATAAACCCTCCACTCAAACTTCTCCTCACCAACCTTAACAGGACACATGACCATAACAAGACAGATCCCTTTTTGATGTACCTCGTGTCCATATCACACTGTAAAAACTATGCACATAAAGGGCCCCAAAATACGGAATTCATTACCAGAAGATATTAAAGTAACCCGGTCTGAAAATCAATTTAAGACTTCTCAAAAGCTACTTGATCACCCTAGACTAAATGCTAAATATTCATTACACATATACTCACTTATGAACTCCCACATCATAACTTCAACAATTACCTTGAACCTTTTATCCATTGTTGACAGGAATATAATTGAATCATCGTTTTCACAAAAAGAATTTTTGAATATACGAATATATCCGCCGGGTCACCATCTGGAGAAGACCCGGGCCGGAAGTACCGGCAAATCCCAGGAGTTTACCTGGAGAGAGTTCCGGAGATCAACGCCCTCGCGGCCCGGTCTGTGACCAGGCCTCCTGGTGGATCAGAGCCTGATCAACCAGGCTGTTACTGCTGGCTGCACGCAAACCAACGTACGAGCCACAGCCCGTCTGGTCAGGTACAGACTTTAGGTGTTTGTCCAGTGCCAACTTGAAGACTGCCAGGGGTCTGTTGATAATCCCCCTTATGTATGCTGGGAGGCAGATGAACAGTCTCGGGCCCCTGACACTTATTGTATGGTCTCTTAACGTGCTAGTGACACCCCTGCTTTTCATTGGGAGGATGTTGCATCGTCTGCCAAGTCTTTTGCTTTCGTAGTGAGTGATTTTCGTGTGCAAGTTCGGTACTAGTCCCTCTAGGATTTTCCAGGTGTATATAATCATGTATCTCTCCCGCCTGCGTTCCAGGGAATACAGGTTCAGGAACCTCAAGCGCTCCCAGTAATTGAGGTGTTTTATCTCCGTTATGCGCGCCGTGAAGGTTCTCTGTACATTTTCTAGGTCAGCAATTTCACCTGCCTTGAAAGGTGCTGTTAGTGTGCAGCAATATTCCAGCCTAGATAGAACAAGTGATCTGAAGAGTGTCATCATGGGCTTGGCATCCCTAGTTTGAAGGTTTCTCATTATCCATCCTGTCATTTTTCTAGCAGCTGCGATTGATACAATGTTATGGTCCTTGAAGGCGAGATCCTCCGACATGATCACTCCCAGGTCTTTGACGTTGGTGTTTCGCTCTATTTTGTGGCCAGAATTTGTTTTGTACTCTGATGAAGATTTAATTTCCTCGTGTTTACCATATCTGAGTAATTGAAATTTCTCATCGTTGAACTTCATATTGTTTTCTGCAGCCCACTGAAAGATTTGGTTGATGTCCGCCTGGAGCCTTGCAGTGTCTGCAATGGAAGACACTGTCATGCAGATTCGGGTGTCATCTGCAAAGGAGGACACGGTGCTGTGGCTAACATCCTTGTCTATGTCAGATATGAGGATGAGGAACAAGATGGGAACGAGTACTGTGCCTTGTGGAACAGAGCGTTTCACAGTAGCTGCCTCGGACTTTACTCTGTTGACTACTACTCTTTGTGTTCTGTTTGTGAGGAAATTATAGATCCATCGACCAACTTTTCCTGTTATTCTTTTAGCACGCATTTTGTGCGCTATTACGCCATGGTCACACTTGTCGAAGGCTTTTGCAAGTCTGTATATATTACATCTGCATTCTTTTTGTCTTCTAGTGCATCTAGGACCTTGTCGTAGTGATCCAATAGTCGAGACAGACAGGAGCGACCTGTTCTAAGCCCATGTTGCCCTGGGTAGTGTAATTGATGGGTTTCTAGATGGGTGGTGATCTTGCTTCTTAGGACCCTTTCAAAGATTTTTATGATATGGGATGTTAGTGCTATCGGTCTGTAGTTTTTTGCTATTGCTTTACTGCCCCCTTTGTGGAGTGGGGCTATGTCTGTTGTTTTTAGTAACTGTGGGACGACCCTGTGTCCATGCTCCCTCTCCCTAGGATGGTAAAAGCTCGTGATAGGGGCTCTTGCAGTTCTTTATGAACACGGAGTTGATTGAACGAATATATCTTTTGTCTTGTACAAATTATTCACTTATAATTAATAATCTATTGTACAACTATGAAATAATTACTATCCTACTGTACAACTATGATACAATCCTTAGTGTTAAGTAGTCTGTAAGCCAATAATGTTAAGTCGAACCATAATGCCTAGGCATAACAGAGGCTCTCTTTGCATTGCAACCCTACTATTGTAAATACAAAATCTCAATGTACTATTTGCAAAGGCATAAATAAATAAATAAACCCATATAAGAGCGTTGGTATAACTATACTCTCATACATTCCACTCTTTGCTTTCATAGACAAAGTTCTTTGTCTCCACAGACTCCAAAGTGCACCACTCACCTTTTTTCCTCTCATCAATTCTATGATTCACCTTATCTTTCATAGACCCATCTGCTGACACGTCCACTCCTAAATATCTGAATACATTCACCTCCTCCATACTCTCTCTCCCTTCAGTCTGATATCTAATCTTTCGTCACCTATTTTTTATTATCCTCATCACCTTAGTCTTTCCTACATTCATTTTAATTTTCTTCTCTTACATACCCTACCAAACTCATCAACCTCCGCAACTTCTCTTCAGAATCTCCCAAAAGCACAGTGTCATCAGCAAAGAGCAACTGTGATAACTCCCACTTTATGTTAGATTCCTTATCTTTTAACCCCACACCTCTTGCCAATACCCGAGCATTCACTTCTTTTACAACCCCATTTATAAATATACTGAATAACAATGGTGACATCACACACCCTTGTCTAAGGCCTACTTTTACTGGGAAATCTCCCTCTCTCCTACATACTTTAACCTGAGCCTCACTACTCTAGTAAAAACTCTCTACTGTTTTCAGTAACCTACCTCCTGTTCCATACATTTACAACATCTGCCACATTGCCCCCTTATCCACCCTGTCATATACCTTTTCCAAATCCATAAATGCGACAAAACCTCTTACTCTTATCTAAATACTGTTCAACTATATGTTTCACTGTAAACACTTGGTCTACACGCCCCATACCTTCCCTAAAGCCTCCTTGTTCATCTGCTAACCTACTCTCTGTCTTAGTCTTCATTCTTTCAATACTAACTAACCAGGTATACTCAACAGACTTATTCCCCTATAATTTTTTGCACTCTTTTGTCCCCTTTGCCTTTATACAAAGGAACTATGAATGCTCTCTGCCAATCCCTAGTACCTTACCCTCTTCTATACATTTATTAAATAAAAGCACCAACCACTCCAAAACTAACATTTCTATCTTTATCCCATCAATCCCAGCTGCCTTACCCACTTTCATTCTACCCACTGCCTCACGAACTTCCCCCACACTCACAACTGCTCTTCCTCACTCATACAAGATGTTATTCCTCTTTGCCCTATACACGAAATCACAGCTTCCCTACCTTCATCAACATTTAACAATTCCTCAAAATATTCCCATCTTCCCGATACCTCTAAATAATAAATTACTATTAAATAAAAACATATTAATAAGTAATTAATAAACAATGGTCAGTATAACAGTTTTATTTAATACAGGGAAATCACTTTAAGGCACCACTTCCGAAGTAAATAATCTGAGTAACGGTTATTTAATATGTGGACTGAAGAAAAACAAACACCAGGGTTTTTCAGTTGTGTGAGAGCAGGTAGGTGGAACTTAACAGTTGTGTGGCTTGAAAGCTTAAGAAGTGAGGCTAACTCAATAACCTCTATCTTTTTAAGAGTGCATCACTGCTGCAAGTTACCTTGCAGTTGTCACCAAGAGGGATGCCTGGACACTGATAGTTTAAAACCCCGATAAAAAAATGGATCAAACCTGATTACCTCCAAATTACCCTCGCCATGCACCACACCTACGGATTTAACGTTTCCCCCATGAATATGATACTGTTCTAGAATAATATTCACAAGGCAAATAGTGCACAATATTCTGAGGTAGTGAGAATTACTTATTCACGGGAGAGCTCTAAACCCGTAGGGATTATATAGAATATGAGGAATTGAAGGTAACCTGGTTTGATCAGAGGGCAGGCTAGCTTCTATTTCTCTAATCATGAGTCCTTTTCCAGCATCACGGCGCCCTCCCCCAGAAGTTTAGGTGCATAACATACATTACAGTGCATCCATCTTCTAAACATCGCATATTCAAGTTTGGAAATAAAGCTGTTACATTTTAAATAATGAAAATTAGACCAACCTTTCTTCCACCGTCTCGGGCTTTGTTAATTACATCTTTGGCATCAGCAACGTATTTTTCAACAGCTAAGGGATCGTCACTCTGGTATGGTCCTCGGTAAAGATCAGGCATAGTCACACTATGAACCCAATCTTCTTTTGCTGTCACGAATTAAAGAATTTCATTCATTAATACTATTTTATTTTTTTTATTTAGAAATTTTAGCATACATACAGAGGTACAAAAAAAATACAGGTAAGAGCAGCATGCCAAAGCCACTTATATGCATAGCATTACGGGCTGGCTTAAAAATTAACTTAAGATTAACTAAGCAATGATGAAATCAGTGATAAGACATTATTGTAAACAGATAACTATAAAGCACAAATGAGTATTACAAAGACAGGTCATATGGTTGCTTGCATTGCTGTTCATTCAGTAGAATGGAGTATTCTGTTAGGTAGTGTATTTAAAAAAAAAAAGTTACATTGGGTCCTAGGTTTAACATTTATGTGATATAATTGTGAGTAACATTTTGGATTTACAATTTATAAGGTTCAGTTATTCAGTATTTATTTGGTTTTGAGTGAGTAAGTGAACTTTGAGAAGAGACTTGAATTTATAAACAGGTAGTGTATCTCTTATATTTACAGGTAATGAATTCCAGATTTTAGGGCCTTTTATGTGCATTGAGTTTTTGCATAGCGTGAGATGGACACGAGGAACATCAAAGAGTGATCTGTGCTTGTGTTATGGTCATGTGTTCTGTTGAGGTTGGCAAGGAGATGTTTGAGGGAGGGTTAATATCAGAGTTAAGTGTTCTATGTATGTAATAGGTGCAATAATAAGTATGGATGTTTTGTATGGTGAGTAGGTTGAGTGTTTTTGAATATTGGTGGAGTGTGTTGCCTGTAGTGAGAATTTGTATCATTCTAAACTGCAGCCTTTTGTTGGGTAATTAGTGTCTGAGATGGTTAATTGTTGTTGAGCCCCATGCACAAATTCCATAGGTGAGATAGGGGTAAGTAAAGAGTGATATAGGGCCAGAGGGCTGACTGGGAACATAGTATCCGTATCTTCGATAGTATGCCTACAGTCTTGGAAATTTCTTAGAAATTTGTTGTATATGTGTATGAAATTTGAGTCTATTATCGAGGTGGATTCCTAAGAATTTTCCCTCTGTTAGCTTTGTGATAGGTGATCCGTTTATCGTTATGTTAAGAGGTACATCTGTAGCTCTGTTACCAAACTGAATGAAGTAGGTTTTGCCCAAGTTTAGTGTAAGTTTGTTAGTCCTCATCCAGGTAGATATTTTCTGAAATTTTCGGTTTGTTTACAGTATTGGCTAACGTGACTGGGCTCGGTGAGAGAAGACGTATGTAGTGTCATCTGCAAAAAGTGTGGTTTGAGTAATTGCGAACTTTTGGTAGGTCATTTATGTATAGGAGAAAAGAAGAAGGCCAAGGACACTTCCCTGTGGGACACCAACGTAATTGGTTGTGCGGAAGAGCTTGCCCCATTTGCGTACACATATTGGCTTCTGTTGCTGAGGTAAGACTTGAGGTATTTTAGGGAGCCCTTATACCATAGTGTGACAATTTTATACGTGGAGAAGTCATGGTCAACTGTATCAAAAGCTTTACGTAAGTCAATGAAGATCCCCAGTGGGATTTTTTTTTCTCTATTGCAGTGTATATATGTTCTAGCATGTTATAATAGCATCATTAGTATTTTTATTAGGCCTAAATTTCCAAATTGGCAGGGGTTTGAGAATGTTTTGGAGATGAGGTAGGAGTAGAATCGTTTATGAATTAATTTTTCGAAGATTTTTGAGAGAGGGTGAAAATTGGATATTGGCCTATAGTTATTCAACTCTTTTTTGGTCTCCTCCTTTATGGATGGGGGTGACCCTTGCTATTTTGAGAACTGTGGGGAAGGTGGAGGATTCAATGGATTTGTTAAAGAGTTTTTGCAATGATTGGTGATAGTACTGTGACGTTTTTTTTGTATATAAAGGGGGGAAAGGGTATTTAAATCTCCTGCCTTGTTTTTCAGTGCGTTGATAATAAGGGAGACTTCGTATGGGGTTTGCCGGGGCTAGGAACTGTGTTCGGGTAGTTGCCAGTGAGGTAGTCATTTGGTGGGGTATCTGAGCTTGGGAAATTTTTTTGGCAAGGTTTTGACCTATAATGGAGAAGAAATCATTGAGTCTGTTTGCTATTTCCCGTTGGTGGAGTGGGTTCATCTGATTTTCTAATTTTATTTCGCTATGTCGTGATATCTTTTTTGTTCCCAGAATTTCTGAAGGGTCTTTCCAGGTCTTTTTTATACACCTCCTAAGTTGGATAATCGTTCTCATAATACAATTTTTTGCCCCTTCCATCAGGCTGGGTTTGGATTGACGAGTAACGTTTTGTTTGGTCCTGGGTTTTGTGACCCATTCTGTACTGTTTTTTCATATCGGTGTTTTGTATTAAGGATTTGAGAATGCTGGGTGTTAGCCAGGACTGTTCCTCTTAGCTGTCATCTGTTTAGTTTTTTAGGGCAGTGCTTGTTATAAAGGAATTGGGTCTTTTTTTAGAAAATTAATTAAAACATTCGTCAATATCTGTATAGATTTCTAGCTCAGTGTGCCAGTCAATGTTTGTTACGCTGTTGTGAAGTTATTAATGGCTGCCTCAATGAAGTCTGAAGGGGACTTTAGGGAGTGTCTTGGGGTATTTTACCAAGAGTTTTATGAGGGAAAGTAGGGTAGTGGTCCCGTGTAATTCTGTAATTATGCCTTTATTTTAAAGGGATATGGTGTTGGTCCAGATGTGATCTATAGGGGAAAAACTAGTCTCTAACTCTTGTAGGTTTGTTACTGCTGGTAGCAACATGCAGTTACCATTGTGTTTGTGAATTCAGTAACGTGTGGGTCCTGGTCTTGCAGGAGATTTATATTGAAGTCACCTGAGAGTAGTAAGTGATCTTTGTTCAAAGCGTGCATCAGTTATCATACTTCCAGGTTTTGACTAAATGGCTATGTTTGATTGTGGAACCCCGTAATGTTTATACTGAAGTTTTTTTTAGGGATTTTTGG